AAAATCATGCGTAAAGGTAAGTCATCGGTTTGCCTTTTTCATATTCCTATCCCCACGTTTGCCTGGCCATGGTAGATATTTTTTCATTTACTTCTCGTTGGCATTATCCACTATACCGTAATACTTGCCTTTTTAGGTGCCTTCCTTATAAATACCGCGCGCGGAGGGCTAGTCGATGAGGCTGCGCTCGCTGCAGCTCTGAAGAGTGGCTTCATTCGGGCAGCTGCACTCGATGTCACCGATCCCGAACCATTCGCACAGAACAGTAAGTTTTCAGTTTTTACCAGTTGCTTATTAACCAAGACTCGCCTTAAGTGTACTTCTTGTTTAACGTAAGGTTTGGTAGGTTACCAAGTTGAAGTTACGAATGACTGTAATCTGAAGTCATTTAAGGGTCAGAATGGCAAACGTCTGGCGTTTGCGGAATTAGCTAATGCAACAGAGTACACCTATGTAAACTCGTTATATTACTTTGTTATTTCTTGGCCTATACGAGTGGTTTTCCCTTATTTCCCTCCTTTTCTGAAGTAATTCGCCCGAGTCAGTCCAACGAAGCCAGATGACAGCTGTTATACAACTATGTTCTTAAAATTCGGTCCATGTCAGGTCTTCTTGTGTTTAACGTACATTTTCTACCCAGCCTTGGTTCTTAAAAGGTAGGACGTGTGTATCTAAACTTATTGCATCAACTTTTGTCATCCTTTTACATCAGCGTTGTTATAAAAACATAAAAGCTGTTTTTACTGGGCAACAATGTCGAGCCTGTCCACTTAGTCCGCGTTAAAAATCATTTTGGGTTATTTTACTAGTTGTGGCATTTTATGTCATTGTGAGACGGTAAGCCCCCCGAAATACGCTTTAATTGCTGGCACTTCACAGCTCCATCCACTCGATGGATTTTCATAGTTATTCTGCTTGCTGACCGCGATTTGTCGACACATTTTAAGCCCACAGTACTTTTTACTCTGAATTAAATTGTTCAACACTTTTGTTCTTAGGCCCGCTCAAGGACGCGCCAAACCTTATAGTAACACCCCACATGGCCTACTACAGCGAAAACAGTATGCGCGAGATGCGGGAAGCAGCTGCACATGAAATACGAAGAGCGGTGACCAGTCGCATTCCGTCATGCCTCCGAAACTGTGTGAACAAGGAGTACCTTATGGGCGGGATTTGCGGAAGCTTAAACAACCACCCAGCCCTCGGCGGTCCTGGTGCGGGGAACACAGCGGCTGCGGTTGCAGCTGCCCTGGGTATTTCCTCATTAACAGGGTCTTCTATCAACTCGACCGTTGGTCTACCACCACTCCCGCCCTCTCTTCTGGGGGCTGCCGCCAACTTTCCCATAACAAGCATCGGTGCATCTTCGTCGGGAAACGGTGGTGTACCGTCCGCCGGTGGTATTCTGACCAACAGTGGCGGCCCAACAACAATCCCCGCCTTGCTCCCACCCTCCGGAAACCCACACCTCCCTCAAAATGCTATGGCTCCTTACGCCCCCTTTCTGCCTCCGGGACTGACAGCCGGAATGGGGTTACCGCAGCTGAATCAGACACCTATCTCGAGGCCAGGAAATAGTCCAGCATCCAACGGCACCGGCAGCACACCATCTTCTGGCTCGCCCTCCGTTACCTCTGTCCCAAGCGGAATTGACAACATGCACGCCAGTCTTGCTGCAGCCGTGTCTGCTTTTAATCCAGGGTATGCCTTGCGGTGCGCTTATCCACCCTTTGGCTGACTGTTGTGGTTAGTAATTAAATTCTCTAAGCCTGCTATGCTTGTTTATGATGAGCAAATACTTCTATAAATCACTTCATACTTTCAAGCATACCCGAGCAGGTGACGGCGACACTATTTATTCTGTCCAAGGGGTTTGCGTATGCTAGCGCTTGGTTAGTAAGTCGCATACCTACTCGAGCCCCTTCTATGCTCTTTAGACCTGATCTGTGATTGACCAAGTTGCCGCATGACTTCAGCCATTGGAAATTCTACTCCTTCTAGCCGAGTGTGTATGTAAATAAGGCCATGAAAGCGTTTTATTCAGTGAGTGTTTAACAGTAAAGCTTTGAAAATACTTCCGAGTGCGGCGAGTAAGCGTGGACCTCAAGAAGCTAGGTAAAGTTGTACAATTTTTCTGGGGGTGATAGTATTATTCGACATGTTTCAGCTCTGTACGATATTTATCGTAAATATTTTTTGCCTGTTCTACACCGCTAATCGTCTTGTCTTGCTCTCCTTTTTCAGAGCTTCGGGTTTTCCGTTCTCGAGCATGGTAGCTGCTAGCAATTCCATGGTAGCACCAAAGAACGAGGAATTACAAAGGCAGTAATAGTGCTATTTTGGCACTTTATTGCGTTCCCACTCCCTACTGACACTCAAAATATTTGTGCGTATGTGGCGTCCGATATTTTCGGCAGGCATTTCTTACCGACTGAATTGCTGTTATTATTTTTGCCGGTAAGGCCTCCGCGACTATGGAACGGCTGGGTGTGGATTGGAAGCAGCTGGAACAATCCGCACTTTCTTGTTCAATCGTCATAGTCATTTCCCGTGTGGCACAAACGCGCAGCTGAGAAACCTCTGTGTCACAACCTCTGTTGTTTGTTCGACTGCTCCCCGAGGTCCGTCCTATATATCTCACTGTCTGTTACCCCCCTCCCCCCGTTCCCCATCTCTTTTTCTCAAGGCAACAAAAATTTATGCATTTAAGCTGTACATAATTTTCTGCCTCGCACCTTGCGCGCTAGCATCCACCTGTAAAACGATTTCTTTTCCTATCTATATATGCGTGCATCTCTTGTATAGCGTGGCAGGTGGAGGGCCTGTCATAGTCCAGTTCTCCTATTGGTTCTGCGTTATTTTGCAGAAGGCACATCCTGCCACCGCGTGGGTAAAACGAAAGACTACTGCTGGCTACAAACTAAACTTGGCCTAGAATCGTCTTGTGCAAGTCGGACACCCTGCCGCCTTCGTTTCTCACCGTAAACTGCTTCGATATCACCTGTTAAACGAGACAGTGGTTACTGTACCGTAAACAAAAGGTTATTGCCCGCACGGAGCTGTCAGCGTATTGTACAGTTAAAGCGTTGGCGTTCGTAATAGGTATGTTATTTGAGGATCCATAGTTTATTAGCCCTACCGGTAGGATTTTGGTCTCCGGTGCTTAATTGTGACCGGGAGAGCTGGCGTCTGGATATAAAATTAACTTAACAAATTTTTTTAGATTTGGTTGGTTTTGGGGTTTACTTACCACTGTTAGGCTAGGAGTATGAATGTCGTCAGCTACGCGCAGCATTGGGTTAGCCTGGCTATCGAGATCTAATTTGCGGCCGTCTCGGTTCTTAAGAATAGGATCATAGCTCAGACTTATCGCGGAGTAAACTCGACCTCAGTTATCTGGCCGCTGGAGTTTCAAATAACGATCTGGCAGCTCGAAGCTGAAAATGAGTCCTAGTCCCGAAGGAGTCAGCTGCTGATATAGGAAGCTTAATAGCTTAGCCGGTGTCGGCGATGGGGTTCTAAGAAACCTGTAGTTCTCCATTTTGGGAGTTAGGGTGGGACTGGGGTACATTAGGTTATAAAATGGCGAATCCTAGGGTCCTTGCATGGGGGTAGCGACCTCTCGACCGTTTACCGTATTGTTTAGCCATGATCGCCCTTCTGGGGAGGCAGTGCTTACAAACGAAACTATGTGGGACAGCGGATAGTTGACGTGGGCCGTTCGTTAGCCGCAACATGGACTGTTGAATGAAGAACTTTAGTGGGCTGGTACTTCAGACTCGTCCGAAGGTTATCGATGGGGTAGCGTCTAGAGGGTATGGACGGGTCGTGGTAGTCTAGGCCCCACATCAGTTAAAACTAGAAACGGCCGTTTCAAGTTAATGCTCATGCTTGGTACAACAGTTGTTTGGTCGGTCCCGTCTGCGTATTTAGTGGCAGCGATCTCACCGCCGATGTTCGCGACTGACCTGATAATTGTCCTGAAATTCAGCGCACAAGCACTATTGGTGGGAGCGATTGTCGCCCACAATGAAATTAATACCAGGCTAGATGTTATGGCTTGATGAGTTTCATTGTTGACTATGAGCCGTGGCCCAGACAATGAACGATCCATGCATAATCACCCTCCACAGGAGTTCGGCCTCTGGCTCGGTGTCGACATCAGCTATCTCACTGTTGTTGCATGCGCCATCATCCGCGCCCAGCGCGAGCTTCTCATTTATATGACATAGTTGCTGTCCGCGCAATTGCCTACTCCAATAGCGCGACTGCTGGTCTGTAAAATCACCTAACTGTTGGGTATTCGCCTAGGTGTGCCGCAGGGTTGTATCCTGTCGCCAAATCTCTTCATCTAAGTCATTGACTGGATTCTCGGGAAAACCCTACGCGAAATTGACGGTACCGAGTTCGCATTCGAACGCCGACTGACTGATCTCGACTATATCGAGTATTTCGCCTTAGTGAGCTGCAGTCTATAGGAGAAGGTCACCAAAACGGTCGGTTTAGCCATAAACACTGGGAGGT